CTCCCCTTCCTCCCCCTCCTCTCTCCCCTCCCCCTCCTTCCCCTCTCCCCCTCCTCCCTCTCCTCCTTCTCCTCCTCCTCCTCTCCTCCTCTCCACCCTCCCTCTCCTCCCACCTTGATGCAGCTCCTTCTTTCCTTCCTGTTGAAGGAGAATGACTTTGACCGCCTGGTGCTGCAATACGCTCCCAGTGCCTGAGTACAGTCCCAGACTCAAGTCCTGGACATGGAGACAGCAATACCAGGGACCCTACTGCCCGCCGGCTGGCACCTGCTCCCCACTCATCCCATCCTTGGGCTGGAGGTCTGGCCCCTGCATCCCTTATCTGCCAATAAATGTCTTTACTCTGGGGTGTCCCCACCCAGTGCAGTGCTCTGGTCACTTTGGTGGGAGAGGGTAGGAACCAAGGCTCGGAAGGTAGGGTCCCGGGCCTCTGTCAACCGCTCTGCAAATGGAAGTGTCTGTCTGCGTGGAGTCCATCGCCCCACTGCTTACATGCCACAGGTCCCGCACTCCTGAGCTGCAGCTTGTGGAGCCCAGTCCCTCCCTGTGGCCCTCATGCCACAGCCTCAGTTGGTATTCAGGGGAACAGACACAGGTCCATCATGCAGTTGTCATGGAGGGTGTTGAGATTCAAACCCAGGATCGTCTGTCGGTCCGGAGGTGCGGGCAGGAGCAAGCCCAAAGCACCCAGGCCTCTGCCTAGCAAAGCAGGGAGGATCCCAGGCCTCTGTTCCTCACCATTGCCCTGTGCTGAATTGAGACTTGGCAGTGGTCGGGGCCCTTGGGCCCTGGGACACCATAGTGGGCAGGTACCAAGATTCCGCCCCTCCCAGACAGAAATCTGTAGAGAGCCAGACACTAAAGGGGAGGTGGGTGGCAGGGCTGGGGGTGGGAGAGAGGAATGGCTGGAAGAGCCACTCAGGTGAGGTCGCCAATGAGCTGTGCCCATCCAAATAAGCAGCTTCCAGGCCAGGTTCTGGGACATGAGCATCCATGGCCCAGACACACCTGTGTGGGAGCCCAGAGTCCTCTCCGGATTGTCATGGTGAGCTGGATGGGACAATGTGCCCTTGGCCACTGGCCAGTGTCTGGCTTTGGCCTCAGCTTATCTCCTGTGGAGGAGATACGACACTTGGGTCCAGGCCTTGGGGGTGGCCACCTGAAAGAACCCAGTCCTTGGTTGCCAGAATATGACAACAGATGACACCCATCCCCCAGCTCCTTCCTGCCCAGCTGGGGAGGGAGGTGGCAGAAAGGCCTTCCCTGGGCAGTGGCATCAGGATCCTGTTCCCAGTATGCCTTCTGAGGGAGGAGGCCTGTCCTCTTGAGGCAGAGAAGGGACACCGGTGTCATGAATGACCCTCAGCGGCCCTTGTTCTCTGCTGTCGGTGCCAGGAGCCACTTTCCATCCCTGCCTGCACCCACCCGTGGGTGGCCTCCTGACTGGACACACCCAAAAGAAACCTGAGGCTGAGCTGGGGCTGGTGGGCAGGCAGCACTTCTCCCATTACTGATGGGTACCATAGTGACCAGATAGTGCTCAGTGGGAGGTGGATAGAGGAAGAGGGGAAGGTCCAGGGCTGCCCCACAGGCCAGGTCAGACCTGGGGAGCACACCCAGCCAGGCCTGAGCCCCCTTCCCCACCTCAGAGGCTTCCATGTTAGTGACCTTTCAGGCCTCTGCTGGCCCTGAATTGACCAGGCCAGGCCTCCTGCCACCCACTACGCATAACACCTGCTGGGCTTGTCACCTCCCCTACCCACATTCATGAGTAGGATGGGGCTGAAGTTGTGGTTCAGTAGCACAGCACTTGCTCACACGGGTGAGGCACTGGGTTCAACCCTCAGCATTACATAAAAACAAGTAATAAATTCTGTTTGTTTGTTTGTTTTCTGAGATGGAATCTCACACATGTAATCCCAGTGGTTGTGGAGGCAGAGACAGGAGGATCGTGAGTTCAAAGCCAGCCTCAGCAAAAGCAAGGCACTAAGCAACTCAGTGAGACCCTGTTTCTAAATAAAATAGTAAATAGGGCTGGGAATGGGGCCCGGTGGTCAAGTGCCCCTGAGTTCAATTCCTGGTACCCCCCGAAATTATTTTTAAATATCCTCTTTAAAAAAAAAAAAGGATGAGTAAGATGAACAATGGGGTAGTGACAAGAAGACTGAGGAGAGGTGCACTGAGTAGGTGACATCTGAGTAAAGCCAGAAGGAGGTAAGGGAGACCCCTGCAGCTACTAGGAACGGTGTTGCAGGACAGGGAAGAAGTTCGAGGGCCCTAAGGCAGCACTTGGTGTTGTAGGAACAGCCGGAGGCCACATGGCCTGAGGATGCAGCAAGCGGGGGAAGGAAGATGGGGGGTGGTGGGCTGAGTTGGTGGAGAGCTGTTTTTTTCTGAGATTGGAACCCAGGAGGGCTGTGAGCTTGGCAGGAAAGCGCCCTCGTGTTGGAAGGTCCTTTGGCCTCTGTGTGGGGTAAGGAGTTAGGGCAGGACAGCAGACAGGAGGCCCAAGGTGGTCCCAGGCAGCACAAGGACCAGGAGGTGCAGTGCAGAGAAGTGGCCAGATAAGGAACCTCTGAAGCTAGGGCTATGGGTGCTGCCGGACTGGATGTGGGGGGAGAGGCAGAAGGCTCCCGTGACCCCACCTCCGGAGTCTTCACCTGCACGTCAAGGTCAGGATAGACTGGTGATTGTGGTAGCAGCTAGGAGGTGGGGCAGCAGTGTCAGGTGAGGCGTTTCCAACAAAGGTGACCAGTACCCTCATTGATAGTTTTTGGGGAATTTGGGCCAGGGGTTGTTCAATGGTTGATGGAGAGTGGTCCCCAGGGTGGTCTCAAATTATGATCTTAATCCAGCTTCTCTGAGTCTTCCCACAATGACACCCATCCCCTTGGCCTCCCGCAAGGCCTGTGTTGACCTGATGCTGGGGAGGCCTGCTGGTCCCCAGTCTCTTAGAGCAGCAGCAGATGACCCTCAGACTGACCCAGCTCTCTCTCTCCTCCAGGGAGGCCCCTAATGTCAGCAGCCCCAACCTCACTATCTGCCTCTGAGTCCCTAACCACCTACCACTGGCCCGAGGAGCAAAAGCTAGGAAGTGTCACAGGTCCCCAGCCCAATGATGCTCTGCCTGCTAGGAGCCTCGTGGGAAAACAGGGTGAATCTCCACGAGGGGAGTTTTCCTTATGTCTCGCGTGGGCTCTGTCTTTTTGGGGAATGAGAAGTTTCATGTACCCTACCCTTCTGAATGTGGGAAGGCCACAGGATGGTCCCTGAAGCTGTATTTGAATGCCTCAAATCCACCAGGTGGGAGGGCTCTAGAAAACGGTAAAGGTAGGGGGGACGGTATTGGCGCAGGAGAGACAGGCTGGAGGGCCCGGAAGAGAGGGTGTTGCCGGCCGAGGACACTGCCTGCTGATGCCCGCAGTGCCCCAAGCCGCGGACATTATGTGGTGGGTACTGAAGCACGGGGTGAGGACACGGGTAGCGACAAGGGGTCGCACGGAGCCTGCTGGGGATCTAGGTCCACCCGCCCGCCATCCCGCCTCGGTGTCCGCGCAAGAATAGCGGTGAGAGCTAGGGCCGGCCTACAGGACGCCCCGCAACTCCTCTGCCGCCCCTCTCCGCGCCCCTGCTGGGGCGGAGCTTGCGTTGACCCCGCCCCTCCGTCCTCTGCGCTCCAGCCGGCGCGCCCCCGGCCCAACTGCGGCGCGTGACGCGGGGTGCGCGGCTCCGGCGGCCACCGCGGGCTGGCGCAGGCAGCAGGGGACAGCCAGAGAGCCGGCTGCATGGCGGCGGCAGGGACCGCAGCAGGGCCGGCGGGGCCCGAGCCCATGCCGAGCTACGCGCAGCTGGTGCAACGGAGCTGGGGCAGCGCGCTAGCGGCAGCGCGGGGCTGTGCGGACTGCGGCTGGGGACTGGCGCGCCGCGGCCTGGCCGAGCACGCGCACCTGGCGCCGCCCGAGCTGCTGCTGCTGGCGCTCTGCGCGCTTGGCTGGACCGCGCTGCGCTCCGCGGCCACCGCGCGCCTCTTTCGGGTCAGTGAGAAGCGGGGCCGGGACATGGGGACCCTGGGTTGCAGGGAAGGGGGCCCTGGACGAGGGATTCAGGGCAGCCACGCGTCCCTTTCTGTCAATGCTAGCCAAGGGGGGATGTTATTGGAATGTGGTGGTCCATGGTTTAGAAGGACCCGGGACATTGGGGCCTCCAGACAAGAGACCCTGGGCCGCTGCGCGCCCCTTTCGATCAGTACCAGGTGGGAAGGTGGGGGTGGATGCGGGGGTGTGGCCGGGCTGGGGTGATCCCAGGATGTAAGGCGCCCGGTGCTGGTTAGGTGTTCCGGACATGGGAGAACCAAAGCACGATCCTTCCTGGTCCGTTTGGGACAAGGGGCCCCGCATGGTGGGGGGACTCGGGCCTCTGCACGGTCTCTCAGGCAGGGCCGAGCTGGGACCAAGAAGTCCAGGACGTGGACCAAGAGGCCTCGGCTTACGGAAGTCGCCGGCTCCTTGCGTCTGCATGGCCTTGCGGAGCGCGCTGGAGGACCGCTGCTCAGCCTCCCCGGGGTTCGTGCAGCGGCGGGGCCCGCTGCCCACTGCTACCGGCCAGAGGCCGGAGCCTCCAGATCGCTGCCTCGCGCCTGTCTGGGGTCAGCGCCACCCTCCGATCAGAGGTGGCAAATGCCTGGGCGTCGTGGCCACGTTTGTGGTCTCTGCCTTGGGGGTGACATGGCCTGGGTCTTTGGGGATGGACTATGCTGCCTCCAAGAGGCGATGACTGAATCACCGAGTTTCTGGAAAACCTGAGGAGGCCACCTCCCAGGTCAGAGAGTGACAGGTGGTGACATTGACTCTGACCCCTCTCCCTTTCCTGGGAAGTCATGTTTGTGGCAGGAGCTGGTGGAAAGGCATCTGGGCCTCTAGCTTGGCTGCAACTCCCCCGGGACTGGCTGGGGGTCACCCCACCCCAGTCTGACTGGAGGTGGTGTAAAGGGTGCGGGGGGACAGAGAGCCCAGTGCCAACAAAGAGGCCTTTCTCTGCTGGCTGGGAAGAAGCTGGCCCTTGTTAGGTCAAGATAGGGTGTTGTCTGCTGCCACTGTGCCCACCCTGTCTCCATGTCACCCACAGGAGGGAGAGATCCCCTCCCCCACCTTGCTCTAGGGAGGGGGAGGCAGGTGTGGGGAGGGCTGCTCCACAGGTTAACCCTGTTCTTCAATTGCCTCCATCCGCCTCCCCCAATTTTCAGCTTCCCAGGCTCTTGAGGGTGAAAGCTGGCAGGGTGATATGGCCCTTTTTGGCCACCAGGGCAAATAGGTGCTTCCTCCCAACCTTCCTGAGTGACCTGCGTAGGGCACAGCAGGACCATGTACATCCGCACTTTTGGAATCCTGAAGCGCCCTCCCCAGCCTGGGTGGGGTGTTCTCCCCAATCCCAGCCTCGCCCTTCCCCAGAAATGGGCGGAGGGGCTGCCTGGTTCTCCAAAGCTCATCTTCTTGGCAGGAGCCTGGTTGCCAGGGGTTACCAGAGCTGGCTGTGGCTGTCTCCATGACAACTGCTCTGGGCTCCTGCGGCCCCCTCAGCCCAGGGGAGCAGGCGGGGCTTGGCCTGTAGCTCTGGAACCCCACCCCTAAAGAGCGGGAGCCTCCTCCCCTTCTTGTCCCTGAGCTTTCTAATTCCTGGTGGCTCCCCTTGCATGGCCACACTTCTGTGTTCTCCCTGATGTCCCCCGAAGCCCCCCGTCCACCTCTGACACCTCCTCCATCTAAGCCCTTTCTCCCCCAGCCCCATCTTTTGCTCTTTCCGCCTCCCCAGGTCCCTGTCCTCCACACCTACCCCGTCCTCCCTGGCCTTCGGTTCTTCTCTGGTTCCTCAAATGCCCCCTCCCAAGCACCTTTTCCCCTCGCCTTCTCCCTCTCCCCTCATGTCTCCCCAGGGGATCCCTTGGGTTTTCCAGCCTCCCGTGGCCCCCAGATGCCTCCAGATCTCCTTTATGGTGCCCCCATCCATCTTCATGCCTTCTAATTCCTCCTCCTCCTGATTGTACCCCAAGCTCGCCCTGTGACCCGAGCCGGGTTGCCCCAGGCTGACCCCGTGGGTCTCTGTCACTTAAGCCCAGTGTCTCCCTGCTGGCCCTCCCGTCCTCTCTAGCCTTTTCGCAGTCTCCCCCTCTCTTCCCTCCCTAGTGCTGGGGCCTCCTGGGCTGGACAGCTGGGCGCTAAGTTTAGCCCTTGGCAGACACACCTGGGCTCTGGTTGCTCCAGGCAGTTATGGGCATGGGGGCCGGGCCCTCCCCAGCCTTGCCCTTCCTGGGGAGCTCCGGGGCCCGTTTCCCCAGCTGATGGAGTAGCTCCTGGTCCTGGGGCCAACTACCACCCACTTTCTCACCCACAGCCCCTGGCCAAGCGATGCCGCCTTCAGCCCAGAGATGCTGCCAAGATGCCTGAGAGCGCCTGGAAGTTTCTGTTCTACTTGGGCTGCTGGAGCTACAGTGCCTACCTGCTCTTTGGCACTGACTACCCCTTCTTTCATGACCCACCCTCTGTCTTCTACGGTAGGGACCCTTTAGGGGTGGGGGTGGGCTCTGCTTAAAACACACAAAAAAACAGGGCCCTTGGTGCTGCTGGGGGTCAGAGGAGCCCCCTGGAGGAGGTGATCCCTGCACGGACCAAGGTGAACATTTCAGGAGTCAGTACCAGCATATGCAAAGGCTCTGGGGCACTTACGAGGTTGTTACTTGAGAACTAAAAGAGTGGCTGCTGCAGCTCTTGACAGGAGATGGAGTTTCATTCTAAAGGGAGAGGTTTAAGAAAGGGATGGAGAGTGGCATTTGTGGGTGATAAAATGTTTCCTCTGCAGCTGGGTGGAAACGAGAGTCTCCCCAGTGTCTTGACCCATCTTGGCAAGGATATAAAGATGATGAGAGGTGGCTTCCCCCAGTTGGTTGATTTGATGTGGGCATCACAGAGGTTGGGCAGGAAGGTGGCTACAGAGGCGCTGGGTGGCCTGTCCCAGCCAAGGAGGCAGGGCAGGGCTAGCATTGGCCACGTGGCACAGAAGAGTCCATCTGCAGTGGGGTTCCGGCTCCTCTGCTCTGTGCTGAGCACCTGGGCTGAGTTTCTGAGTCACATGTCAACAGCGTTTCCTGCCATTTGACAGGAACAGACTGGGGGGGCTTCCACGGGCACCAAGCCACAGTGGGGGGCCGTGGCCTGGGAGCACACACCACGCAGGTTTTCCGCCTCCTGAGTCCTTGGAGGGACCAGTCTGGCTGAAGTGTAACTGATCTCCCTTAGGGTTCGGGGCATGGAGTTGCCTTTGGCTTCTTATCAATTATGCTTTCAAGTGAGCTGTTTCAATGTGCATTGATTGAGCACCTACTGTGTCCCACTTGCTGTGTAGACACAGCCAGGAGCGGGTAGAGAAAGCACGTTGTCCATGCAGTGCTGACTGTGGCGCGGACAAAGTGAGGGATGCCATCTGCTGATGGCAGGAAGTGCCCCCGGAGAGTCTGGGCAGCAGACGGTAATGGGGTGCTGGGGACGGGGGCCAGGGGCAGTTTTCAAGAGGGATAGGGATGGCCTGTCACTGAAGGGGACTTTGAATGAGGGCCAGGAGAAGAGCAGGACAGGCAAGAACGCAGTGGCCAGGGTAGTGGGGATGGCGGGAGAGGGCCAGTGGGCACCTAAGGCCTCGGAGACCATGGTGAGGGTTTGGGACAAACCTGAGGGCTATGAACAGAGGCGGGAAGTGACAGACCCTGCCATTGGCTGCCATTGGCTGGCATTGGCTCTCTGTCACCAAGGCTGCAGAGGGGACTGAGGACGGAGTTTAGGAGGCACTCACCAGGACACACGGGACCCCGGGGACAGGAGTGGCCGACTGGAGAAATGCTCAAGAAGTAGAGCCCAGAGGCTCAGCAGCCCAGCGGAAGTGGGTGTGTGAGGAAGGCGGGTCCCTGGGTGAGGTCTGGGATGGGGGGTTGATGCCGAGTCAGGAAGTGAGGAGGGGACAAGGTGGGAGGACACTGGGTGTCCAGGTCAGCAAGTAGACGCAGGTGACGAGGGGCCGGAAAGTAGTTGTGAGGCCCCTGGGTGAGCCCATCCGGTTGGGGGTTCTGGTCGGGGGACACCAGGGAGCCCCTTGTTGGAAGGTTGGCTGAGGTGGGGCCAGAGCTAGCGATCCTGGTGGCCAGAGGCAGATTTCTAGAGTCAGGCTGGAGAGGAACCAGGAGCTGGGGTGCAGAGGGCAGGGAACTGGGGTGCAGAGCCTTCTCTTGAGTTTTGTCCAGTTCCTGGGAGGTCGAGCAAGGGCTGTGGGCCCAGGGAGGAGGAGGACAAGCAGGTGGTCCTCTTGCGTCAGGTGTCTGGTGAGGTGACTGTGGTCCAAGATGTCCTAAGGGTGTCAGGGAAGGCTGGAGTGGACAGTCATGCTCAGAAGTGGCCCAGGCTGGACAGTAAAGCACATGTCCCCTGCCTGTGCCCCAGATCTGTGGCCTGAGCCTGGAGGAGGACGCTTTGTAGTAGTGGCAGGACACAGAACCTGGGGGCCGGCGGGCAGGAGCTCCAGGTTTGTGAGTGCATTTCCCCGGGGGCTGCCAGTGCACCAGCCCTGATGGTCCTCAGCACAAATGGCTGTCCTCGGTCCCCAGCCCGCTCCCGCCCTCCTCTCTGGAGCTCCTACCACGGGCTGGCCGGACACAGCTCTCTCCAGAGAGGTGGCCAGAGGTGGCCACCCTGTAGAAGAGGCTCCGATGGGTCAGGATCCCAGAGGGACAGATCCAGGACCCACATGGGAGCAGTAGGAGGCCCCCTGGGGTTCCAGTGGGCATGGCTTGGATGTCAACTTCAAAGTTAAGGGTGGAAGAGGGACGAAGCCACCCAGCTAGTGTGCAGGTGGGGCGAAGGGCTAGAAGCTCGGGACCTTGAGGGGCTGCAGCGTTCCCAGGCAGCCAAGGACAGAGCATCAGGTGGCCAAGGTCGGAGCATGAGGTGAGAGTCTAGCCAGGAGCGTCGTTTTTGCTTTGGGGAGCCCCTGGGTGGGTTCAGTGGGGCGGAGCTGGGGGAATGGGATCCGATTCATGAGATTTTTTTTGGGGGGAGGGGAGTACCAGAGATCGAACTCAGGGGCACACGACCACTGAGCCACCTCCCCAGCCCTATTCTCTATTTTATTTAGAGACAGCATCTCACTGAGTGCCTAGCGCCTTGCTTTTGCTGAGGCTGGCTTTGAACTCACAACCCTCCTGCCTCAGCCTCCTGAGCCACTGGGATTACAGGCCTGTGCCACCGCCCCTGGCCATGAGATGTTTTTTTTTTTTTTTTACATTTTTTAAATTTATGTGAAATTATCATTACATGAAAACCATTTAGCCAGTCACAAAAAAAGATAAATGCTGTGTGATTCCCCTTCTGGGAGACCCCTTAGTTGTCACATAGACAAAAGGTAGAATGGTGGGTGCCAAGGGCTGGGGGAGGGGAGCGGGGTATGGGTTTAATGGGGACAAAGTTTAAGTTTTGCAAGAGTCCTGAGCAATTTGAATATACTTAATGCCCCTGAACTCACAGATGACCAGGATGGTATCAGGGTTCCTTATCAGAGTTCCTTAATTTGTTTGTTTGTTTATTCATAAAACAGGGGGCTCACTGTTACCCAGGCTGTCCCTGAACTCCTTAGTTCAAGTGATCCTCCTGCTTCAGCCTCCCAAGTAGTTGGGACTACAGGTGCCGCCACCACACCTCGTGAAAATTAACCAGCGGTTTAAGCCAAGTGCAGTGAACAGAACCCAGCTCTTTCAGAGACTGACGTGGGAGGATCATTTGAGCCCAGGAGTTCGAGGCCAGTCTGGGCAACAGAGGGATATACCCCATCTCAAAATAAATAAACAGCTGGGCACAGTGACACACACCTGTCATCCCAGCAACTCGGGAGGCTGAGGCAGGAGGATGGCGAGTTCAAGGCCGGTCTCAGCAAGTTTTCGAGGCCCTAAGCAACTCAGTGAGTCCCCATCTCAAAA